GTATAGAATGAAGTATTTGAAACCTAATTATTGTGTTTTTTGGATCCTTTTAACTCGAGCAGTTAAGTGAATCAGCCTCCAGCCATGAATCTCGTTCTGCCAGAAACATGTCCCTGTGAAAAGAGACAAATTATCTCCTGTGTGTACGAGTTAATTAACAGAGTAGTTTTATTTTTTGTAAAACTGCGTTGTTTTCATGCCATTCTGTAAAAAAAATGTAACGTATGTCATTAATTGGAATGAGTGAAGTAGAACTAAATCAGCTGAACAAAAAACATTTTACTTGATTTAGAACAAGAATTTATTTTATATCAGCATGCTTTTGTCATTTCCTATTAGACATATGTGCAGTGGTTTTATGTCTCGCTCATTATATTCTTTTTATGTGTCTCAGCGGCTAATAAATCATCGGCGATCATGTCGACTCATATCGTAGCCTGCCTGCTGCTCTATCGACACCGACAGGTCAGCTTTATCTTCTTCTCCTTTCTTCATGTAGTTCAGCTTTTTATATGTTCCTCCCTTTTTTTAAAGTTGCTAAACTGTAGCTTTGCCTCAATTTCTTATTATCTAACAAGTTAAATAAAAACAGAATTTTTCAAAAGCCATTATCTTTCTGCTACTTTTGATGCCTCTATTTCAATTTGTGGTGAGCTTCTGCCCTCTGCAGTCACAATGATGTAACTGCAAGAATCTGGGAAAAAATAATGCAATTTATTTTTAGAATTCTAAAAAAAAAAGTCATTTCTGCTTGTTTAAAAATATATTTTTTTATTACTGATATCAGTTTTTGTGTGTATTTTGTGTTAAAGACTCCAAGTCTGTGGTCTCCTCTATTTTTCCTGCAGGGAGTGGTTCTGTCCAGGCTTGTGGAGGACTTCTTCAACATGAAGGAGGAGATCCTGTCACGAGACTTCGACTTGGGCTTTTCAGGAAACTCCGAGGACGTGGTCATGCGTGCCCTCCACCTCCTGGAAAAATGCGTCAACGTGACCAGCAGCTCCAACCGCAACGGGGAGTTCACCATCGCGCCCGCCCAAACCGTCCCGGCACTTTTTGAGCTCAACTTCTACAGCAACGGCCTTTTCTTTGTCTTCATTTCTGATGCGATCATTGGTACGTCCAGTTAGGAGTTTAGAATCTCTGCTTGTTTTTGTAATGCATAATCTTTTTTTCCATCAGATTCAGTGTTTCCTAACCTTCCACCTTCTCTGCAGCCTGCAGCATCCTGTCGCTGCAGCGAGAGCTGCTGATGGAGTCGGAGTGTGGTCACCCACCTAAAGATCCCAACTGTCTCCCTCTCAGTCAAGAACGGCTCATCCATAAGGCTGCTGGTCTCTCACAATTCCTCCTCAATGAAGTGGCTGTGGCATCTGTAAGTTCTGCATTTTATTAGCATCTTTTCCAGCTTTGTACTTTGAGAAGTAGTACTAACGCAATAGGAAGCTTTTTAGAATCACTATATTTGAAAAAAATATATTTATTTTTACTCTTTCCTGCAGCCCTGCCAGACAATTTACCAAGTTTTTCATGATGCAGTGACTCGACTGATCCAATATGGCGTCCTCTATGTGGCAGAAGTGAGTTAACGCAGTGGTTTTCGAAGTCAGGGGGTGGAGCTAGAGGAGCTTCAGAAAGCTGGACGGAAGATAAAAAAATAAATAAAATAATGGATAAACTGATTTAATTCTATGATAATAATTTCAAATATTTTAGATTTAGTTTAAAAAATCTAATATTAATTTAAAATATAATATATAAAAATATACTGAAATGTTATTTAATAGAACTTAAGACAGATTTGATTTCTTTTGTTCTGATCTTATCAGTTTTGTTGAAAAGTTGTTTTTCGAGTGGGAATATAATGATGTTAGTTAAACAGGTTAATACAATTCTTGTGCTAAAAAGTGTAATAATTATTGAATAATGAATATTAGTAGATGTTTCTTTATATATATTTTGTAGCATTGTTTGTGGGTTTGCAAGGGGGTCCCCTGCCAGAAGCTAATGCTCTTTGGGAGCTATGGCTGGTTAACAGACTAACTCTGCTGACTGACAAAGACTATTTTGATAGAGAGAAGTAATGATGGGCGTCTTGTGATGTGTTGTTATCTAGATCTGCTAATAAATGGTTCAGTGGGATGGTTTCAGGGCGCAGTTGATCTGATTTGTTTGTTTGTCAGGAGGACCAGGAGGAACTGAGTTCCAGCCCATCAGATGAGCTATGGCCCAAAAAGTTCTCCGAGCCTCTTTCCTGGAGAAGTGACGAAGAAGACGAGGACAGTGACTTTGGAGAGGAGCAAAGAGATCGCTACCTGAAGGTAAGGTTTCATAAGGACTCCTAGCTTCCAGAGTCGTGGTTGAGACGTTCGGATCCATGCGACGTCAGGTGACTGTGTTGTTTTAACAAACAGGTGAGCGTGTCGGCAGAGCACCAGGAGTTCTTCAGCTTCCTTCAGCGGCTGCTCAGTCCGGTGCTGGAGGCCTACAGCGGGGCTGCAGTCTTTATCCACAGCTTGAGTCAGCCCATGCCTGAGTCCGATTACACCCAGAAGCTCTTCAGATTCCTGCTGACGCGAACCGAGAGAGGAGTGGCTGCTTATGGTAACACTGCGGGATGCTGTACACTCAAAACAAAAACAAAAATACACCATCTGATCACGATTTTAACAATTAGCTGTCCTTTGTATTTTACGGATATATTAATTTATTTATCTGGAAATTAAAAGTTTAGGTGAATGTTTCAGTAATGAACTGTGTGCACTTTTATTCATTATTCAATCATTTTTACATTTATTTAGCTTTATTAGTATATCAAACGACATTAGCTGAGAATTACATTTTAACATAACTATTATTGAAAAGCAGATTATATTTTATAATGGTTTAAAACATTTATTAGATTTAATTTTTATATTTTTTGTTATCCCCCACCTTTCTGAGGCCCTCCTAGCGCCCCCTGGTGGCCCCCCAGTTTGAAAAACGCTGGTCTAGAGCAGCGGTTCCCCAATTTTTCAGCTTTTGACCCTCAAAATAGCAGCAGCAGAGACCTGAGCCCCCAGCTGTTGTTGGATGATAAACATTGTTTTCACGTCAGAAAAACAAGAGCATAGTAACATTATTCATTATGCTATTTTTGTCCATTTTAATTACACTAACCTTACTCTTTTGTACAACGAAGGCAAATTCATAAAATATTTTCAGGATCCCGCCTTGATGTTTTGGGACCCCATTGTGGGTCTCGACCCCAACTTTGGGAACCACGGGCTTTGAGATCTCTGCTGTGAATGAAATACTTGTTTGGTCTGAGTCTCTTGTGTTCATCTGTTTTTTTCAGGTGAAAGTGCAACTCATTATCTGGTGAAGAACACCGTGAAGACTTTCAAAGAGCTTGGGGTAAATGTGTTTTTATGAACACACTGTGCCCATAAAGTTTGTGTGCAGTTCCACAGACTTTAGTGTTAACTTGTTGTGGTGATTCTGCAGGTCCTAAAGGAGAGGCGGGAGAACAAGGTGGCGATTCTGGAGCTGAGCAGCACCTTTCTACCTCAGGCCAACCGGAACAAACTCCTGCAGTACATTTTAGGATTCACCCTGATGTGACTGGTCGACCTTTCAGTTGCCAGGCTCCTTCCATTCAAAGGGCTTCTGCTGGTTACTTTGAAACAATCCCAGGTGCTACTCTGTGGAAAGCTTTACCAGGAAGTGCCTTCACATTACAGCCGCTAACTGTTAGCCGTTAGCTGGAAGAGACTTGAAGCCAGTCTTTTGTTGGAAAACATGTATTAATCTTACGAAGCGGTTTCTCCAGGAGTCAAATTTTCTTTGAGGACGTTGCCAACAAAGTCTAAACCTTTTAACAGTTTTACATGTACAAAGACATAAGTGAGCAAGTTGGGGAAACAACTACTTTTACATCAATTTAAACAAAAATAGTTGCCTTTCAAGTCAATTTAACCACGGCAACATCTTTTTGTTGGCTCTTTTTTGCTTGTTAGGACAAACTGCTAGAATCTTAGTGCACTTTAATATCAAGCTGTAGGACGTGTTAAAATGTAGTTTTCATGACAAATACATTTTAAAAATCAAATCCTTGTATATAGGTCACGGTGCATATAAATAGCTTTGACTGAAAGATTTGCTGATGTCCCAGCAAACCTGTACATATTCAGTTTTTTTATGAACAACGATAAGTTCTGTTCTGTTACGTTCGAGTTATCAAACCACTGATCTAAGTGCATTCAGTTACAGGATGAGTTTTAGTAAAAAAAAAAGTTTAACTTTTCAAAGAATGTCACAACGCACAGCATGTAAAAAATAAAAAGAAATACCAGCTGTCTCATCCACGTGCATTTAACTGTAACCAACTCAGACAGGGAAAGCATGTAGTTTTCTTTTAATCAACGAGCACTGCTAAAGAGGAATACTTCAATCCAGTAGTTGGGCATTTCTAAAACTAAACCGCTGTATAGTTTAGTAAAAATAAATGGTACGCGTCGATAAGCTGGCTGCTTTTGCGATCTCTTCTTCTGTAATAATGTGAGGAGCAGCGAGGTAAAGCTTTTTTTTCTGTTAAGTCTTCAGACAAACTGATTTTAAAGAATCTGTGTAAAATAACAATGTGCTTGAAACACATTTAACATAAAAACCGTGATCGATCAGATGTAAAATAGAGAATGTGAAATGCTTTTAAGCGCACACGTCTGGAGCTTGTTTGAAGGGTCAGAAATGTTGGAGGAGTCCTCATGATTGGTCGGATTACTAACCTTAAATCAGACTAGGAACGCACATCAATATAAACATTAGCAACAATCTTGAAATACTGCTGGTTACAGTTTTTTGTTAATAAAAGTTTTTTTGCGTGCTCATTTTAAAGCAACTTAAACATAAATCCACCCTGTTTGAGAAAAAGGCACGTTGAAGAACAGACAAGTATGTCACTAAAAGGATGTGAGGTGGAAGACTAACGTTTCTGAGCCCATAGACTGTTACAGGAGCAGGAATAAACCACTACACTTACTGTGCTGCATGTTTCCTCTGGTCGCCTTTTTCACTCTTTAATTTACTTTATCTGCAATCAGCACATCACAGCGAGCGAGAGTCTGTATGTTAAAGAGAGAGAGAGATGTAAATGTTGAAAATACACACGCTGAATGTATTTCAGCTGTCTCTGAATCGGCCACTTTGATGCCGTGAATACTGGAGGGTATCGATACAAATAAGATTTAGTTTTTCTGAACTRTTTGTGAGATTAATCGTCTCACTTTAATCTGTGTAATAATGTAAAAACAAGTCTGTATCTGGGAGGCGCTGCCTTTTTAATCGCTCTGTCGTGTTCCTCAGTTTCTGATTTTGCGCATGTGTACCACTTATTTTATTTATKACTCCGAAAGAACAAAGTAGAGATTTTGTTGTTACTTTAAGAGAGGAGAAAAAAAAACACCAGCTACTAAAATAAGTCTTTATTTTCTTTTTAGTTGCTCTTTCAGAGCAAAGCACAATTGGCATTATTARATGTTTTTAAATAAATGAACTATTAACTATTGTCTTGTCTGTTTTACTACTTTAAGTGGTGCGACTGACAGTGAATGAAAAAAAAATGCAGGTAGAATTTACAAATGATTTGTTCGGACAGAAAATGCAGATGTTTAAGTAATTTGTAAAATGTGTGAAACGCAATGTGTAGATATGCCACAGAAATGTGTGGAAATGAAAAATAAAAAAGATTTAAGAATGTACATAATAACATGTATGTAGCAAGTTCACTTCTTCTGGAGATTAAAAGGCAGTACTGTGCAAAAGTCTTGTCTGATTTCTTATATATACAGTRTTAGGCTGAAAGTTTAGTTTAGTTTCATTCATATCATTTAAAAAAAACAAAGCGACTTCAGTATACAAAAAATGCAAATGAAAAATAAAATGAATGGCGGCAGAAGGAAGAAAAAATCTTATATCTGCGCCTTTTTACATCAAAAGAAATTCAAACAATAAAAAAAACAAAAAATTAAGAAACTAAAATCTTTCTCAGACAATTTTTAAGGATACATATGTCATTTCATATTTCTTCAACAGACTGGATTTTATCATTCTAAACTTTGTCAAATAACTAGAGAGCCACTGTAGTGTTGGTCCTTGAATCCCATATTTATTCAGCTTTTCGAAGAGAATAGTCAGTTGTGTCAAATGCTTTCTTTAAATCAATGAAAATCCTAAAACAATACTGTTTTTGATCGACAGCAGTTGTTATTTATTCCATGAATTCCATAAGAGCCATTGATGTGGAATTATTTTTCTGAACCCAAACTGACTGTTAATTAGAATATATTGTCTATCAATAAACTGATCTAATCTGGTCACAAATAGTTTCTCCAAAATTTTGTAAAATTGTGGCATCAATGATATTGGTCTGTAGTTATTACACATTCATCTCTCACCATTCTTGTACAGAGGAATTAACTTAGCTATTTTCATTTTATCAGGAAATATTACTGTTGGAAATGACAAATTACACATGTATTGATCAACAACATGGCTCATTATTTCTGTCACAAACATCCATATCCATCCAGTCTTTTGATCATTTGTCAGCAAATTTTTTTTTACAATACTCAGTAATTCGTCTTTATCAGTTTCACCTAGAATAATACTGTTGGTACAACCCCTAACTGTATGGCACACATTTTTTTTATCTACCTTAGGTATTTCAGCTGCAAGGCCTGGGGCCAACATTAACATAAAATTTCTTAAACTCATTTACTAACATATTTTTATCATAAATTTCCTTGTCATCTTTCACAAAATACTGTGAAAAATGTGTCTGGCCTTTACTGTTTTTCAGGACACTTCATTACTCGCCGTGTTGCTTTCATGTCACTCTTACTTTAGTCTAATAGATCACTGTAATATTGCTTTTTACGTTTTCTTAATGTCCATACCAACTTGTTTTTATATATCTGGTATTTGTCTTATCTTTTTTTCTTGATTTTAAGAAGCACAAGTGCAAGTTGTTCTTTTTTTACAAGCATTTCTTTAGTCATCCATGGTTTGTCGACATTTCTTTTTGACCATTTTTTTTGCACACAGTATTTTTCATAGAGTTCCTAGAATTTTTATAAACACATCAGAGGCTCTGCTGACATCATTTACATACACATCCTTCTAATTTTGTTTTTGTAAATCATCTTTTAGTTTGTCCAAAGCTTTTTTTTTATGTATTTATCCTTTTCCTATCCACCGTAGTGACAATATCACTGCTTAGACAGTTTCTACAAATGACAAAAACTGGCAAATGATCACTTCTATCAGCCATAAAGATGCCACTCATCTCCTCTTCAGTTCTTACATTAGTAAAAATATCATCAATCACTGTTTCACTATGTGTAATAATTCTTGTTGGCTTAGATAAAAAGTGAATTGGCAATAACTATTTTTTATATAATACGCTTTTTTTCTGTTGTTTTTAGGCCCAACTCTTCTTTTTACACAATACCCTGTCATGATTTGGGACAAAAAAAATTCCAAAAAACCTCCAGGAAGCCTGAAGAACTAATAAAGATTACAAAAAAGTCACTCTGTACAAGCCAAGTATAAAGAGGCTGTTCAGTCTTTTTCATAGTGAGGATGAGGAGGGGTATGGCTGCTCTCTGGAGGAGGATATAAGGAGAGCAGAGACCAGCTGATGTTTCAGTGATGATGAAGACACGGCACATTTGTGTCCTTCTACCCAACAAACAGCACCTGGACTGTTGTGTCAGGGTGAGTTGACTTTTTCTACAGCTCTCGCTTTAAATATGTACTTACAGGCAAGGGCGTAATCACCATCTTAAAAGTGGGGGGGACAGAGGGCACAGATATTGGAAGTGTGGGGGGACATGTCCCACCCGGTGCCTATGGCGGTTACGCCCATGCTTACAGGAATGTAACATCAAAACACTGAGTAGAACTGAGTTTAAGTCATAGAGCTGGTTGGGTGATATGACTGAAAAAAAATCTCTGTTTTGCATCAATTGATATTGATTATTATTGATTTTTTTTTTTTTTGTTTTACCTATTTGACATAGGAGAGAAAAGGCTGGTGATGTCACAATTCCTTTTATATCCACAATTTCCTCTTGAGCTGTTGCACTCATTTTCTCTTTTCATTCCACATCCCTTTTTTTTATTAACTTTTTACTTTTTAGCAGATACAGTATAAGGCGCAGTGGTGAACCATGAATCTGTTACTGCACATGTTGCTCAGCAGGTTGCAGCTTACCAAAAAGTGAGTTGGTTGATGCAGCCAACGTTGCTGGGCCATGAAAAGTTGAGCCGATAATCTTTCCTCTGCCTGAACCCCACAGAATGCTACAGTTCTCAATCCGAGTTAGGTGAAATTACTAACACTCTATTGAACTTATTTTCTATTGATATTGGTTATTATTAAATGGGATCACCAGTAGTCGTCACCTTCATGAAGACTATTCTCCCTGGTGTCCCAACAGAAAACAAGCATAAAGCAACCCCACCCCTAAATCAACCTGTCTCCATTATCCAGTCAAACTAAGATTTTGCAGGTTCTTTCTGAATACCTGAGTGTTAGCGGTGTTATGTCAGCAGATAACATATTCCAATAAGAGGTATAGTTGTATGTTTGAGTGTTTTAGGCAGAGATGAAGTAAATGTCACAGCAGAAGCCTGGCTTGTTTGAAAACTCTGTTCGAAAAGGGCAACAGCTGAGAAAATGTGCAAAACGGTTTATGTAATGTTCCAGTTTTATACAGTATCAATGACAATTTATTTATAGCACATAAAACAACAGAAATTGACCAAAGTGCTTCACAGTTCAAGTGAACAGATAAAACAACTAAGAAACACAGAAATCTTCAAAAATAAGTCAAATTTAAAAAAAAATAACAGAAATACAACATGAAACTATGGAAGCCCATTTCCTCCTCCCTGATAAAAAAACAAATAAAACTTGTATCTCATAATTATGACTTAGCTATCTCATAATTATGAGATAGTATCTCATAATTATGAGATAGTATGTCATAATAATGAGATAGCTAAGTCCTAATTATGAGATAGCTAAGTCATAAGTATGAGATACTATCTCATAATTATGAGATAGTATGTTATAATAATGAGATAGCCAAGTCATAATTATGAGATAGTATGTTATAATAATGAGATAGCCAAGTCATAATAATGAGATAGCTAAGTCATAAGTATGAGATACTATCTCATAATTATGAGATAGCTAAGTCATAATTATGAGATAGCTAAGTCATAATTATGAGATAGTATCTCATAATTATGAGATAGCTAAGTCATAATTATGAGATAGCTAAGTCATAATTATGAGATAGCTAAGTCATAATTATGAGATACAAGTTTTATTTTTTTATCAGGGTGGCAGAAATGGGCTCCCATATAAAACCATCAAATCTAAAAGTATCTCAAACTCTGTCGGAATCAAAAGCCAAGGAGTAAAGATGGGTCTTGAGGATAGATTTTAAAATCTTAACATTCTCAGCGATCCGATTAAAATATTTGGGGCAAAAACTGCAAAAGCCYGATCACCTCTGAATTTAAGCTTAGATTTAGGAACATCTAAAAGAAACTGGWTGGATGATCGAATGGCTTTAACTGGAGCGTGGATGTTAAGGAGATCACAAAGGTGTGACGGGCCAGACCTAAAGAACTTTAAAAGTTAGCAGCAAAAWCTTAAAATCTATCCTAAAGCAAACAGGAAGTCAATAGAGAGAAGCCAAAACTGGAGACGTGTGTTCATATTTGTTAGTATCTGTTAAAAGACGAGCCGCTGCGTTCTGGACAACTTGTAGAGATTTATTTTATGTACAAACAGAAGAAAGCAGTGAAAACGTTTATCATTGATTTTGACTCCTATGGTTCTAAAATTACAACCAAGTGATCAATATCCAGTTTACTTCAATCTCTTTATGAGGCGCTGGACCACACAGCAGRACTACAAACARTTACCAGTTTCTTATTCCAKAAGTCATGAMTAGATATTACACCAAATTATAGCAATATTTCGACCCATTTTAGACATTCTCTTATGAATGTGTGCGATATAAGGAGAGATGTATTGACTGATCARTCGTCACTCCCACCAGTTTTATTTCTTTCACCTCTATGAAAGAGATGTTGATCGCGCCGATTGCAATACAAATTGTTTTGAATTCTGCCCAGTCCTWTTAAGTGATAAGAAATGCAATGTATCCTTGTGATAAAGATTAAGCTTTTTGATCCATTCAGTCTGATGCTCCTTGTTATTGTTTCCTGATGTGTGATTGACAGGTGAGAGCCAAAGGCCAGGAGGTCATGGACTCTGTGCTGCATCAGTTCGGTGTCAGTGATCTCCAAGTGTTTGGTCTGGGTGTCCTCAGAGGTATGTGGGAGCTCAGGAGGAAATGTTTTTCCTTCATTTACTGTGGAACGCCTGGCTTTAGGGAGGGGAAGCACAAACACGACCTGTCTCTTTGTTTTCCTCGTGTTGATTTATTGGGTTCATTTTGTTTCTTCAGATAATGAATACCTCTTTTTGGATTTGACAAAAAAGCTGAGCAAATACTTCGGCAAAAGATGGAGCAGAGGATCTTTAAGGGTTAGTTGATAAACAGCTCCCAGAACAAGCATTAAGAAGCAAAGTAAACATTCCCTCTGTGTCAGCAGGTCCCGTTCATCTTGTTTTTGAGAATCCAGTTCTACGTGGGGAGTGGGCTGCTGATATTGTAAGTTCAATTGCTACTCGTGGCCATGGCTTCAGTCAACACAGTTTTAGATTCGACGGTGTTTCGTCTGGTTTCAGGAGCAGCAGAGTGCAGCAGCTGTACTTCGCTGAGCTGAGGCAGAAAGTGCTGCGTTCACAGAGCTGCCATCAGGAAGCTCTGTTCTTCCAGCTGGCAGCCTCGGCACTCCAAGCTGAAGCCGGAGATCTGGAACGGAGAGACGACGACGACAACCAGAGAAGAGAGGGGGGAGAGGAAAACGAGCCTTACTTCCTTCCAGAGGATTACTTCCCTTCTTGGGTAAAGAATGAAACAGAAAAAGACTGGAAGAAGAAGTTGGATTTAAACAGAGATTAAACAAAAGCAACAACRTTTGCTGTAAAATAAAGTCCCATGTGCAGTATTGTGAGATCTTGTATGACTCTCAGCTACTACCACATCAAACAGTAGCTCAAAATCTATCAATTTGAAGTTGCAGCAGTTTCCTATTTATTAT